TGGGGGGGCTCACCACGACATGAGGAACCGTATGAAACTGCATTAGGAAGGTTGAGAAACTGAACAGGATCTTTGCACACAGCCACAAAGTGTCCTTTCATATTACCTGCTGCTACCTCTAGCTGATGGAAAGCCCACCTCACTTCCCCACCCCCACTCCCAGGCACACCCATCCCGGTGGTGATTACAGGTGGGTTTCCAGAGGGAGAGAGAGGCAGCTGGAGTGGTTGTAACCACAGGATGCGGCCCAGCAGGGGTGGGAAGACAGACGGAACAGGGTCAGGTAACATTTCATTCAATCCTCTACAAAAAGTTGCCAGGCGGTTGGAGACTCTGGCCACTCCGCCGCACTTAGTTGAGCAACATTGTTGCTATCGTTATCATGTTGTGAATCTTTTGTTTCCATTTGGGGAGCCTCGGAGTAGACGGTGCAGGCTAGAACGGGCTCCTCCTTGGGTTTCAGACAAAGACTCATCTTCCCAGCTGCCCCTGGATGGGTTTGAACTGCCAACTGTGGGGCGAGCGGCCGAGCACATGCATACACATTGCCCTGTTAGTTGTGACTCATAGTGGCCCCCTCTCTCCACAACACCACCCAGTCTGGCCCATCCTCACAATGGTTATGTCTGAGCCCAGGGCTGCAGCCAGTGTCCATCCATCTTCTCAGGGCCTTCCTCTTTCTGGCCGACCCTCTCGTTCCCAAGCAGGTGTCCTGCTGCAGGGCCTGGTCTCTCCTGACAAGGGTTCCAAAGGACGGCGAGATGAAGCCTCGCTGTCTGTCCTTGCCTCTAAGGCAGCAGTTCTCAACCTGTGGAGCTAGACCGCTTGGGGCCCAAGACTGTCAGAAAACACATCTTCCCGATGGTCTTAGGAACGGAGACATGGCTCCTCTATCCGTCTCCAGGCGGGCTAAAGTGACCAGACGTCCTGCTTTTGGCGGGACAGTCCCGATTTTTAACAATTTGTCCTGCGTCCCACGGTGTTTTTAAAAAGTCCCGATTTTTTGAAAGAATGCACGAAAAGCTAGGGTATACGGTTTTCGGCTGCCATGTGGCTATTTCGCCAGGATATGAGTTTTATCAGTGGTGTCCTGCGTTACCAATGTTAAAATCTGGTCACCTTAAGGTGGGTGATCATTCAGAAAGAGATGGCCAGGCCTTTGCTCACATGCAGATATGCCCACCTACGAGTACCTGGTGTGAAGACTGTTACCCATGCGTAAGGTGGTTTTGAACTGCTGACCTTGCAGTCAGCAGCCCAATCAGTAACCCCTCCACCACCCAGGATCCTCCTCATGCCCTAGGCACTGACTTGAGGCTCGATCTCACCACCCTCACTTCTGAGGAGCAATCTGGCTGTGCTTCCTCATCTCGAAGGTGATTGGCTGAAAGCACGCCCTACATGGACCTGTGGGCATGACCAAGAAGACCCATCCCCCAAACTGGAGCATACCCACATGCTTGCGGTTAGGGGGAGCCCAGGTGGAGCAGACGTCAAAGAATTCAGCTGCTAATCAAAAAGTCAGCAGTTTGAACCCACCGGCCACTCCAGAGGAAGGAGCGACCAGGCCATCTGCTCCCCTAAGGACTGACAGCCCGGTGGTCTTCCGGGGTGGTCTTCCGGGAAGATCCTCTGCAGTCCCGTAGCTTGGGGACCTGGATGCCACTTTACTTCCTATTAACATTCTAGCACTCGTTTTTTGTTTTCTGAAGTTTAATTTCAAAATTCAGAATAGTGTGATAGCCACACAGTTCAACCCGGATAAGCGACCAAATACAAACAAGTCAAGGAAAACAACGGAAAAAGACTGATGGCCCAGAAAATCCAGTGAGACAGTTCTGTTCTGTCCTGTAGAGTCGCTATGAGTGGGGATCCGTTTAGTGGCACCCAGCAGCCCGGGGATGAGAACTCACGGCCCTGATTTTGAGAGGACGGGAGCCCTGGTGGTGTCCGGGTTACACGCTGGGCTGTTGATCGCACAGTCAGCAGTTTGAAACCACCGGCCGCTCCGCTGGAGAAAGATGGGGCTCCCATGAAGAGCGACAGCCTTGGGAACTCACAGGGGCAGCTCTACCCTGTCCTGTGGAGTGGCTGTGAGTCGGCATCAGCTCGGTCGGTGGCGGCGAACTTGGTTTGTTTTGTCCGCTGGGTGGTGAAACGAGTTGATGTGCTCAGCTGTTGGGCGATAAAGGTTGAAGATGTGGCTCCGCCCAGAGGTGCCTCGGAGCAAAGGCCTGGCCATCTCCTTCTGACTGAATGGTCACTCAAACCCAGAGCTCACTGCCACCGAGCCAATGCCGACTCACAGCGACCCTATAGGACAGGGTAGAACTGGCCCCGTGGGCTTCCGAGACTGCCACTTTTTTTTGGTTTTCTTTTGTGTTTTTAATTGTAATCAATCCTTTTACGGGGGCTCTTACAGCTCTTATCACAACCCATACACCCATTGTATCAAGCACACCTGTACATATTGCTGCCATCAATATGTCCCAAACATGTTCTTGACAGGAGTAGAAAGCCTCATCTTTCTCCCTGGGAGCAGCTGGTGGCTTCAAACTGGTGATCTTGTGGTTAGCTGCCCAATGCGTAGCCACTACGCCACCAAGGGCCCCTGGAAGGCTCACAGCCGGTGAAAAACCCTGGGAAGCCCCCTGGGAAGCCGAGTTCTCCTCACCCCTTCGTTCCTTGTATTGTCTGTTCCTCCCTCACACACAGCACAACAGTGCCTGCCACGGCACATCTAAACCCACTGCCCTCGGGTCCCTCCCGACTCAGAGGGACCCAACAGGGCAGCGTAGGACTGCTCCTGGCGATTGCTGAGTCTGTCTGTCTTCACGGGAGCAGACAGCCTCCTCTTTCTCCCAAGAGTGGCTGGTGGATTCGAACCACCCACCTTGCAATCAACAGTGCCCACAGTGCCAATAAGCCTCCTTGATACACAGTGGACTCATGGCCACTGAGTTGATTCTGACTCACAGTGATCCCAGAGGACAGAGTAGAGCTGCTCCTCTGTCTCTGAGAATGTAAATCCTGACAGGGGTAGACAGCCTCGTCTTTCTTCCACAGAGCGGCTGGTGGGTTCGAACTGCTCACCTTGTGGTTGACAATCCAACTCGTAACCCACTGGGCCACCAGGGCTCACCTGCTTGATAAAATATTTGCATGCAAAGGGTCCACACAGATAAGGGTGGGGCTACCAGCTCCCCCAGTGGGGCTGGGACACCCTGAAGGTTCAGTGTTCCTCAGGAGTCCAGCCCTGGGGCCTCGTGGTTGCACTGGGTGGGAACAGACCCAAGCAGACCTCAAGGAAGAAAGGACCAGACCGGAGGGATGATCTAGTGTCAAGCAGGAGCTGGAGGGGGACTTGAGGACTGTCCACAGGGGACCCATGTCAGAGGATGCTGGACGCGTGGCAAGGAGAACCCAACACCCTTCCCGGCCCGGCCTCCCCACGTGTGGGGAAAGTGTCCCTCTGCCCAGTACCCCCTCCCCCCACCACACACACACAGCTTATTTGTGGCGCGTGGTCGCCCGTGAGAGGGCAGAAACAGAAATCCAAGCTATTTCAAAAACAAGGAGAAACTCTCTTTAATGTCCAGAGCCCAACACCAGCCCTCCTCCGCCACCCCCCACCCCCCCAAACCCAACAACTTAAACCGCAAACAGGGCTCCAATATGTCCCTAAAACCAAAACCCCTCAGGGCACTTTAACCCCTTCCTGCTAGAGCGGCTTTGCGCTAGCTAGAAGACAAAAAACAGAGAGAGAGAGAGAGAGAGGAGACCTTGTTCCAATGGCATGATTGGGTGATTGGGGGTGGGGTGTGGAGGAAGGACCCCGTGGGGTTGTCCCTCCTCCCCTCCCCCTCCCCTGGCTCCTGGCACACAGGGGTGGGGTGGGGTGGGGGCTGCTGCGGGCGGGGAAGAAACGATCCAGCGTGGTCCCCGAGGTAGCTGTGGAGGTCTCCAGGTGGCTGAAGAAGGTGAGGAGAGCGGGTCTCCAGAGAAGCCCCCCATCTTGAAGGTCTTGGGCTGCGGCGTCCAAGCCAGCCGGCGTCACCGTCCTCGGATTCCGAGAGCTGGCTCCAGACAAACACAGAGGGTGGTGGGCGGCGGGTCCCCTGGGTCCAAGGATCCAAGACATCCTGGGGTGGGGATGCCGTGGACGAGGAACGACACCCATGAACTTGGAAGATGGACCAGTTCAGCCCAGAGGGCATGTGCAGGACAAGAAGGTCCCAGTGGCCAGGACTGGCCTGGCTCCCTGCTTGGGCAAGCTACTGGGGTTTGGGATCCGGCAGGGACAGGTCCTGGGAATATTCCAGAAGGTAGGGGTGGATGGGGGGAGTCCAGGGAAGGTCTGAGGGGGGGGGCGGACCCCATGGTGGTCCTCAGCGCTTAACCTTGCGGCCTGCCGAGTTGCGGCCACTACGGCGATACAGGGACTGCTGGCTGCTGCTGAGCGGGCAGTACTTGAGCGTGTGGGCCTGGCCCCCGGTGGCCCCGCACAGGGGACACACGTAGTGTCTCAGGATGGGGCATACCACCACACCCTCCGGGGTCTTCAGCTGGTGGGAGGCGTAGACGTTGCGGGACTCCCCGTTGTGTTTGCAGAAGTTGCACAGGCCCCCGCCGGCCCCCGGCCCTCCCTGCCCCTCGCTCTGCCCCAGCGGTGGCTCAGGTCTCGGCTCACTCACGCCTTGGTCCTCTGGCCTCGGGCTCCGACTCTGGGCCAGCGCCAACACCAGCTGGCTCAAGTGGAGGTAGTCCTTCCACATGTCGAAGGTGGGAGACTGCATGGTGGCAGAGGGATGGATCTGGGCTGGGCAGGGGGGTGGGGGAGGCGAGCAACAGGGCTGTGTCGCAGAGGAGGTGCACACACACACACAGAAACACACGCACATACACACACACCCCTTTATACTCCCTCAGAACCCCTTCAAGCAGAGGTGGGGCTTATGATTTAAAGGGCCCGTTCCCTCCCCTGTGACCCTGGTCAGACTCCTGTCCCCACAAATAGATCCTACCAGGAGGGCAGTCCACCCTTCGTCCCGCATCTTGGTACTGCCACCCAGGTGGGTTGTCTGTGAGCTCCAAGAAGACCCTTCCCCCTCCCTGGGCCTCAGTTTCCCTGGGTGTACTGTGCCGCTGGCTCCCTGGCTGCGGACGGCCCTCCCCACACTCCAGGCCAGGCCCTCCCTCCCTGGGATGTTGTTATTGTTAGTTGCCCATTAGCCACTCCAGACCAGAGAAGAGCTGCCAAACCCACCCCCACCCACTCCGCCTCCCTCCACCCAGTAGGGTTTGGGGCTGCTCACTGTGCAGGGTCGACCAGCAGTTCCCCAGGACAGGGATGAGGTTTCCTACCCCCAGCGAGAGTGACCGTCTCAGAAACCCGCGGGGGCAGTTCTACCCTGTCCTATAGGGTCGCCGTGCGTCCGCATCCACTCAATGGCAGTTGAGTTTTTGTTTTGCTTTTTAAAACCTCTCAAAGTGGATGGTCACGTCTTTCTCCCACAGATCTACTGGGTCCAGTCGGCAGCCAGCCCTGAACCGCCACACCACCAGGGCCGTACGCCTGGGTGGGCTGCCCACACAGTCCAGTGTAATTCTCGAAACGGCCCCCATCGGGCCGACACCGCTGTGATCCCATTTATAGATGGGGGCCTGAGGCACAGAGAGGGCACGTCCTGAAGCCAAGGGCATGGGGCACTCACTCAGAGCCTAGACTCCAAGCCGGGTCAAAGCCAGCGTTGCTCCTGCTGATGGGGATTGAAGCCATCACACCCTGCAATGTGGGGGGGCTGTGTGTGTATGGGGGGGTGCAGCAACTCCTCAGGGCAGCCCCATTGTATCACAGAAGGCCCGTTGGGTTTCCTTGGCTGTGGTCTTTACGGGAGCAGAGAGCCAGGCCTTTCTTCCTCGGAGCCTCTGAGTGGCCTCGAACGCCCAGCCTTTGGGTGAACAGCCAGTCATCACACCCCTCCCCTGGGCCTTTTCATACTGAGCTCAGGCCAAACCAAGCTCCCTGCCATCGAGCCCAGTCCGACTCACAGTGACCCCGCAGGACAGGGGAGCAATGCCCCTGTGGGGTTTCCGGAGACTCTAACTCTTGACAAGAGCAGAAAGCACTCATAGTTCTCCCTCGGAGCAGGTGGTGGGTTCGAACCGGTGACCCTGAGGTGAGCGGCCCCACGCAGAACCCACTGGGCCACAGTTGTTAAATGCAGGCTCCGCTAAGAGACCTGGCAGTCCACGCAGCTGCTAACAGAAGGGACTGGCAGTTTGAACCTGGCCAGAGACTCCTGGGAAGGAGGAAGCCCCCACGGGGGTCGGGGGGCACATCTACCCTGTCACATGGAGCTGCTGCACATGGAAACTGACCGGATCATAACTGACCACAAGACCACGGCTCGGTGTTTGGGAAACCTCGCAGCCACATACGAAGGTGAGGCAACTCCCCGTTTCACGGAGGGGGCTCTGAGGCTCAGGGAGGTGGAGGGACGGACTCAAGGTCACACAGCACAGACATGGCAGTGCCGGGTTGGTCAGCCCAGTGTGGACTCCAGCAGTTCTACCCTGTCCTGCGGGGTCACCATGAGTTAGAATGGACTTGACAGCAGTGAGAGGAGATGATGGGTCTCAGGTGTTTTAAGAACGAGTGATGAAGGCCAAGGTCAACTCTTTGGTAGGGAGCTACAGAGGGTATTGGGTGTGGACACTGGGGCAGTGGGCTGTCTTGGTCATCTCACTTGTCTCAGCTGAAAAACCACCACCAGACCCACTGCCATCGGAGTCCATCCCAACGGAGGTCCGAGGCACAGGACGAAACTCACCCTTGCTGCATCACAGCGACCCTTTAGGGCAGAGTGGACCTGCCCCTGTGCGCGTCTCTGAGACTGGCAGTCCTTAAGGAGCCGACAGCCTCGTCTTGGCCCTGAGGGGCAGCTGGTGGGTTTGAACCTCCAACCCGGTGGTGAGCGGTTCAATGTTTAACCCACTCTAACCCAAGCAACCCAGAATAGAACTGCCTCTGTGGGTTTCAAGCGCTGCAGGGTCTCTACCTTCAGAGATGTAGGGAGCATCAGAGGGTTGAGAGGGAGGTGATCTTTAGGTTTTGAACTGCTGGCCTCCCAGTTAGCAACCGGGTTCCTAACCACTGCCCCACCAGGGCTCCTTGACTTGCCTCCAGAAAGATCGCCGGAAATGCTTACTGGTTGACTGTGTTGTTGCGGTGGGTGGGCTCGTGGTTGGGAGGTGGTGAAACTAAGTTTGTCAATGTCACAGGAAGGTCATCCGTGGGTGATGTCCCTCTTCCCTGGGCGGGCAGGGCCAGGGCTGCCCTGGTCACGGTGTGTTCCCAGTACAGATTCAAAACCCAAACTTCAGGGGCTCAAGTGGGGAGAGCATACTTTGAGAATGATGATGGCGGCATATGTGCACATGTGCTTGACACACTGGAGGAATGTATGGATTGTGATTAGAGGTGTAAGAGCCCCCGATAATTAAAAAAACAAAACAAACCCAAACTCACTGCCGTAAAGTGACCATCTCTGAAACCCACAGGGGCAGTTCCACCCTGTCCTATAGCAATAGGGTTGCAGTGAGTTTTGTGTCTCAAGTAGGGTAAGCACTGGTCTGCTAACCACAAGGTTGGTAGTTCAAACCCACCAGCTGCTCTGCTCCAGTAAAATTTA